TCTCTTAAAGGTATCTTTTACATAGCAGAAATTGATATTTTTATCAAAGGTCTGATTATCAGTTGTTTCTTACATAAATTGTGCTTTTGGTGTTACATCTGATAAATGTATCATCAACCACAAGGTCACTTAGATTTTCTCCTGTTTTCTTCTAGAAGTTTTATACTATTGTGTTTTATATTTAGGTCCATGATCCATTTTCAGTTAATTGTTGTGAAGGATATATGGTTTTTGTCTAGATTTATTTTTTTGCATGTGGATATTCAGTTGTTCTAGCACCATTTGTTGAAAGACTGTCCTTTCTCTATTGAATTGCCTTTGCTCCCTTGTCAAAGATCAGTTCACTATATTTGTGTGGATCTAATCCTGGGGTCCTTATTCTGTTCCATTGATCTATGTGTCTTTTTTTCCCCCACCACCACACCACACTACTTAATTATAGTAAGTCTTAAAGTTGGATAGTATCAGTCCTCCAACTTTGTTCTTCTTTTTCAGTATTGTGTTAGATATTCTGTGTCTTTTTGTCTTTCCATATAAACTTAGAATCAGTTTGTTAATATCTACAAAATAGCTTGGCTGGATTTTGTTGGGATTGTGTGGAATCTACAGATTAATTCAGGTAAAACTGATATCTTAACAACATTAAGTCTTTTAATCCAGGAAACAAAATATCTCTGAATTTGTTTAGATATTCTTTAATTTTTCTTTCCACACAAGTATTTCACTCCATTGTCTTCTTGCTTGTATGGTTTCTGATGAGAAGTCTGTTGTAATTCTTATCTTTGTTCCCAGATAAGTAGTGTTTTCTCTGTTTTCAAAATTTTTCATTGTCTTTCTGTAGTCTGAACATGATATGGTTATGTATAGTTTTTGGCATTTATTATGCTTGGTGTTTTCTGAGCTTCCTGGATCCGTGGCTTGTTGTCTATCATTAATTTTGGAATATTCTCAGCCATTATTACTTCAAATATTCCCTCCTATTTCTTGTCTTCTTTTGGTATTTCAGTAAGGTATATGTTACACCCTTTGAAATCATCTTCTACTTCTTAGTCTCTTCAATTTTTTACTGTCTTTTTTCTCTTTGTATTTCAGCTTGGGAAGTTTCTATCACCATGTCTTCAAGCTTACTGATTCCTTCCTTGGCTGTTTCCAACCTACTGATGAGCCTATCAAAGGCATTCTTCATTTGTTACCCTTTTTTTTTTTTTTTAATTTCTAGCATCTCCTTTTGATTCTTTCTTAGAGTTTCTATCTCTCGGTTTGCATTAACCATCTGGACTTGCATGTTGTTTACTTTACTAGTAGACTCCTTAGTATATTAATTATGGTTATTTTAAATTCCCTGATAATTCTAAAACCTGTGTCATATCTCAGTTTGGTTGTAATGCTTGTTTTATCTCTTCAGACTGTTGTTTTTCTTTTAGCATGCCTTGTAATTTTTTTGTTGAAAGCTGGACATGATCTATCAAGTAATAGGAATTGAGCCAAAAAGGCCATTAGTGTGAGGTTTTATGTTAATCTGGCCAGGAGTTGGGCTGTGCTTAATGTTTGCTCTAGCTGTAGGTGTCAAAGGTTTTAATTTCTTCTAATGTCTTTTTGTCTCCCTTGTTTCCTTTGGGTTTCCTTAAAAAACTGTATAAATAGAGTCTGCACCTTGTAGGTCTTTCAGCTGTAATTCAGTTATAATAACGAAGGCTTGTTGATGTGGCAGCTAGGTGTGGGAGAAGGGGAGGCATTCTGTAATACTATGACTAAGTCTCAACCTTTTAGTGTGCCTGTCTGTCTGTCTGTCTGTCTGTCTCTCTCTCTCTCTCTCTCGATAGGAAGGCTAGAAGAGCCTGGAGTAGAATATGGCTTTGGTAAAGTTGTTTTCCTTGCTGGGTAGCCCTTTGCTATGTAGAAAGTTCTAAATATACTTCAAAATGATTACTTTTCCTCTTCCCATGCCAGAAACAAGAGATTTTTTTTTCTTAGCTCTTTAGCTTGAGAACCTGCTGGGGTTCCTAGAAGTAAAAGTCCTTCATGATTGCAGCCCCCAGGAGTTTTGTCACTCCCACACTAGTCTATACTCTGCCTCCAGCAATTTGTCAAAGTTACTGCATAAGTGATCCTACCAGTTTATAGCTCCAGCAGATCCTACCAGTTTATAGCACCCTCAAACTCCTGTGCTCAAGTGACCCTCCTGCTTCAGCCTCCTGAGTAGCCAGGACTATAGGCAAGTGCCACCATCCCTGGCTAATTTTTATTTATTTATTTATTTTGGTAGAGATGGGGCTCTCACTATGTTGCCCAGGCTCGTCTCAAACTCCTGGCCTCAAGCAATCCTCTTGCCTCAGCCTCCTAAGGTGCTGGGATTATAGGTGTGAGCCACCATGCCCACCTTGCCAAAATATTCTTGAAAGTGGTTGTACTCATTTACAGTCCCCCTGGCAGTTTATTAGTGTTCTTATTGTCCCATATGTTCACCAATACTTGGCATTGTTAGGGCCTTAAATACACACCAACATCCTGAGTGTTAAATGGTATATATTATTGTGGTTTTATTTTGCATTTCCTTGATTACTAGTGAGATTTCTTAAGTTTATTGGCCATTTATGTTTTTACCTCTGTAAATTGTCTGTTTGTACCTTCTGCCCATTTTTATTGGGTTGTTTGTGTTTTTCTTATTGATTTGTAGGGAAGGATTTCTTTAAAATGACTCAAAAAGCACAAACTATTGAATGAAATAATGATAATTTGATAACTTTAAAATGAAAGACTTATACTCAACAAAAGACATCAGAAACTATGTTAAAAGGTAAACTACCCACCCACTGGGAGAAGATATTTGCTAGATAAATAGCAAGGATTTATACCCAGAATTTTAAAATATAAATAAATATGAAAAACAAATATGATCAAACAATGGGCAAAGGAATGGAACAGGTAACTCATAGAGTGTTGCTGAATGGCTAAAAAATGCATGAATACATGTGTAAACTCACTGGAAATCAGGAACATGCAAATTCAAACAATGACATATGTTTTCAAACATTTTCATCTGGCAAAATAAAGAATTTAATACTCCAAAGTTTTGGCAAGAATGTGAAAAGAATCTCTAAACCCTGCTCATTGGAAGTTGAAGATATACATACCCTATACACAGTGATTCCACTTTGAGGTATATAACCCAGAAGACTGATTCTTAAAATGTTACTCTCAGACTAGTAGCATCAGCATCTCTTGGGAACTTGCTGGAAATGCAAATTCTCAGGCCCCAATCCAGGTCTATTGAGTCAAAAATTCCAGGAGTAGAGCCCAGCATGTGATTAATAAGTCCTCTAGGTGACTCTGATGCACACTAACATTTGAGAACCACTGTAACAGAGTGACACTTTCCCAACATTTTTTACTGAGATCTACAGGAAGAATTAAAACCTGCATTATGGCCCATACACATCTCTCTCACACATATAGACACACATAAAATAAAAAATTTAAGAAATAGTAATCACTCTAACTGTATGGAATGCATTTTGATATTTCTATTCTATTCCAGTTTGTTTCATCAAAAAAAATCTGCTAGTTTTAAACTTCTGACTGTAACCTAAGTTTGAAAAACACTGTCCTAGATAAACTCTTGCATATGTGCAACAAGATATATGTACAATAATATTTGTTGCAGAATTATCTGTAATAGCAAAATAATGAAAAGGACAAATCTTTAGGAAAATGGATAAATAAATATTGGTCTATTCCTACAATGGAATACTATATACTTCCTTTATATCATTTGAAACAAATTTCAAAAATTTCATGTATATTGAGTCAAAAAAACAAGTTATAGAAGGATACGTAGAATATACGATCTATATAGTTTTAAAATGTATAAAACTGTATCTTTTAAAAATGTACAGTTATATAGTAAAAAACATAAAAATGTGTGTGGGAATGGTAAATAGTGAATTCAGGATAGTGGTTACATCTGGAAAGGAGAAAAGAGAATGGGATTGGTGAGGGATACATTTAAGTCTTCAGGTATATCTATAATGCTTTATTCTTTTAACTAAAACATAGAAACTATTGGGAATTAAAGATTGGTAAAGACTAGCTGAGTATACAGGTGTTTGTTATATTATTTTATATAACTTTTGGTATATTAGTTAACATTTCATAATAAAAAGTAAATAAAAATCAAGCTACCCTTGAACTAATAGCAAGAATATATCAGAAATTCAATCATTCAAAGGAAACTATTTTAATATCCTTCTTCTACAATGGTTTTTTTAAAAAATTTAGGGACAGTTAGAAACTATTTAAATTAGATACAACAAAGTGTATGCTCCAGGGGCTTGTGTTGCCTCTTTGGGTAACATGGTAATGAAGAATTTTCCATTCCAGATGTAACATATAGCATGAATGTGAAATAATGATTTGATCAATAAAACAAGGACTATTTACAATATTACTTGGTTACATGTTTTCCAATTTCTCAAAGCTTAGAGGACCTGTGCTTTTACTTTGCTCCTTTGCTAATAGCAACTTAAGTCATATGTCATATGAAAGCCAGCTGGATCATTCTGAAGAAAAAGCTCATGTGTTAATAGTAAATCCTACTCAGAAGCAGGCAGTCAATTTATTTATTGACTAATTCCAAAGGCACCATGGCTACCAGCTATGATAGTCCTATGAATACTACTTGATTATTACTAGCCTAGGAAATTAGAGGTTACTTTTCCTTCAATTCAGGGCTTCTACTAGGTATAGGCTAGAGTCTCATCAAGACTTCTTTAATATTCTAAGGGTAGTTTAGGATCTTAGAAAGCACAAAGAACATTACAGGAAATATGCTACTTATATAGTATGCAGAGAAGGAATAATCAAGGTCAAGGATAAACACAATCACTGTGCCTATGTCACGACTCTTTGGTATAATCAAAGTTAATTTAAAAGTATTAATTTAGGTAGAGGTAAATAAAAGTGAAAACAACCCATGTTGTTTTCCTTGGTTTGGCCTATACCTTGTTTGGCTCCCCTGGATTATATGAAGAAAACATAGGAATTTTTCGGATCTCTTCCTCTGACAAACGATTTCTCTGGATCTCATCTTCTGGGACAAATTCTACTGGCTGCGTCAGCTTCTTAGGCCCAGTCCAACACTGCTCAGGTGAATAATCAATAACTTTTGCCACATGGAGACTGGGACCTTTACCCTGTGCTGCCTGCTTTCCCTCGTCCTGGAGTAATGGCGGGTTCTCAGCTGTGCCACTATCACCCACTGATGTAGCTGAGACCAGTGAGTGGGAAGCAAAGGGTTCACCTCTCATAAGTTGGAACTCTTCAAGACGTTTTTTCATTATCATCTCTTGGTAAAAACTTTCCAGGTTGTTCATGGGATCACCTTTGTTCTTCTTTTGGGTTTCATCTGGATCAAGACAAAGAGACAGGGAAGTTCTACAACGCCTACCAATACAATCTTTGACAAATTAATAAAAATTAAATTCTAGATCTCAGAGATAGAAACTCTGCTAGGGCAGGTCTTTATAACCTGTGACAAATGACAACAGTATATAGCTATCTTATTACATTGCATCTCAAGCAAGGCCAGAACTATGGTGAGGCAAGTGAGGCACCTAAGACTCAGGGTCATGCAAGTATATGCAACTCTAACTGATAAGGATGTTTTAAAAATATAATCAGTGTGGCATTATATATTTCACAAAATTAATAATTCCTTATCATCTAATACCAAGTTCATATTCACATTGCCCTGATTATCTCAAAGATATTGTTTTACATTTGGTTATTTGATTTAGGATCTAAACCAGCCTTTGGCTAATATATTTCTTAAGTATTTTTTATTTTAAAACAGTACCTCTTCCCTCCCACCCCTCTAGCTCATTTCCCTCCCATCCATTGATTTGTTAGAGAAGCTACATTTATTCTATGAACACATGAATTTGATGAATTATTTCTCGATGAGTGTTGTTTAACTTGTTCCTTTAATCCCCTCTATTTCTTGGCAGTTAAATCTAGAACTATGCCATCTAATACAGTAGCCACTGGTCACATGTGTCCATTTAAATTAATTTTAAAGTATCAGTTCCTCAGCCAAACTTATCACATTTCAAGTACTCAACAGCCATATATGTGGCTAGTGGATACCATATTGGACAGATAGAAAAAAACTATTTACATCATTGCAGAAAGTGGCATTGGACAGTGCTGATCTAGAGGTTTGATCAGATGTAAGTTCAATATTTTCAGGCAAGAATCTTTCATAGAAAGATGTGTATTTCTTATTGCATCATGTCATAAGCCATATAAATGTTTGGTGGTCCCATTTTTAGATGATGCTGAAATTGATCAGTGGAGTCAGTTGGTGTTACTTTCATCCCTCCATTAAGTTTGCCCATTCACCTTTCACCGAATGAGTTTTATATCCATTGATGATCATTGCTTAGATCTATTAATTTATTAAGAGTTATAAAATGGGGTTTTCCTAATTTTATTATTTCTTTTTTATTTATTATCTGGAATTCTATAATGAACTTACCATCATCAACTATTTGGTTTCCTAAAATGCAGTTCATACAGGAAAGGCAGGATAAATGCTTGATTCTTTCCATTATTTACCAATTATGAGAGTAATAAGTTGGTACCTTAGAAATGTCCAATGGTGACCAAATATTTTCATATATTTCACGTGTGTCAATTAAATGTAGTCAATATTCTTTTTAGTGGCTAAATTATCCTACTTAGGACCTTCAAATAGGCTCCTGTATTGCTTCTTGGTCTTCTGGCACAGCAAGATATCCCAAGCTCATCTTGCATACTTCCTAACCCAAACCTAGAATATTTCTCCAAGGACCCCTGGTTCCTTTTAGTGGGAAGTGGTATTTAGAAACAACAGTGTGTTGCTAGGTGTGCTCATTTCTGTTGAGTTGTTGCTTCTCGGCATTTTCAGTGGATAAAGTTAGGACATTTTTTAAGAGAAAAATAAATAATGAGTTCATATGGGTATTTCCAATTCGAATTTAAGATCACAAGGTTTTTATTTAAATTCCTTGATTTTGGACTTATATCTCTTTCTGTATGCTTAAAATAACATTAGCAAAATTATTTATTAGCTTCTTCCTAAAATATACTTACAGAATTTTAAATGTTAACAATACTAATATGACCATCAATAATAAAACTACTAAATACAGTTGTATATTTCCTTGCAGTTATGTCTGTCCTTAGATTATATTTCATTAGAAATATACAAATATTGTTGTAAATTCACTATAAGTAATTGTTTTCTCAGTGTGGTTATGCTACCAACTTTATATATCATTAGGTTCATTTACTACAGGTAGTTTTTGAATTTTAGGGATTATTTTACCTTTTTGATTAAATTTTTTACTTTGCAAAACATTTACATCAATCTAAGGTAAAAATTGTTATACAGTACCTTCACAGATGTCTCACTTCCATCTCTGTTCCCTTTATCCCCTTCCCTTCCTTCCTCATAAATAATATTTTTATTATGTTTTGGCTTATGGTTTTATTATTTCTTTTTTGAAAATATAAGCAAACAGGCACACACACACACACACACACACAATTCATTAGTTATACCCCTCTCCTACATAAAGTAACTTACTATAAGCACTGTTCTACAACTTACTTTTTTGTACTGAATAATATATCCTGGAGATAATTCCATATTAATGTGTAGAGCTCTTCCTCTTGCGTCTGCAAAGTACTCCATTGTGTGGATATACCACAGTTTATACAACTATTCCCTTACTGATACACATTGGTCTTGTATCCAATCTTATGTTGTTATGAATAATACCCTGACAGACAGCCTTCTGCACACAGGATTTGGTATTTTTCCAGTATATTTTTGAAACAGCTTTTAAGAAGTGGAATTGCTGATACAAAAGGTAAATATATATGTAATTTTTCTATATACTATTAAATTTCACTCTGTAGGAGTTATACTATTCTGTATTTCCACCAGCAAGGCACAGTAGTAGTGATGGAAGTATTTCTTAAGCCACAAAAAGAGGCCAGGTGTGGTGGCTCAAGCCTGTAATCCTATCACTCTGGGAGGCTGAGGTGGGAGGATTGCTTGAGCCCAAGAGTTCAAGACTGGCCTAAGCAAGAGTGAGAACCTGTCTCTACTAAAAATAGAAAAAATTAGCCAGGTGTGGTGGTGTGTGCCTGTAGTCTCAGCTACTCAGGAGGCTGAGGCAAGAAGATCGCTTTAGCTCAGGAGTTTGAGGTTGCCGTGAGCTAGGCTGACCACATGGCACTCTAGCCTGGGCAACAGAGTGGGACTCCATCTCAAAAAAGAAAAGATACAAAAAGCACTAATCTTTAAGGAAAAGACTGATAAATTCAACTATATTAAAATTAAGAACTTCTATTCATTAAAATGTCATAAAGAGATGGAAAAGAAAAGTCAAAGAATAGAAAAAGTCATTTGCTACACAAAAAACTATTACAGAACTTCAATCCAGAATATACTCCTATAAATTAAAGAAAAAGATAGATGACCATTAGGAAAATTGGCAAAATATTGAAGAGATGTCTCAAAAAAGAATATACATAGCTAACAAATATATGCAAAAGTGCTCAACCATTAGAATTCAGGGAAATGCAATTTAGGAAGGGAAGAGATACTGCTAGAAAACTGACATATTGACAAAAATTAAAAAGAATGCTAATATCACATGTCAGTGAGATTGAAGAGCAGCTAGTACCCTCACATATTGCTGGTGGGAATGTATAGCCACAGTGCTAATCAGTATGACATTATTTACTAATGGTGAATATATGTTCAACATACAACCCATCAATTCTACTCCCACATATATACCTTAGGAAAATTTAGACATATATGTATGAGGACATTATAAGAAGAATTTTCAGATCAGTGCTATTTATAATTGCCTGGAACTAGCAAAAATACAAATGTCTATCTAAGAAGAATTATAAAATTCAGATAAATTTCTATAATGAAATACTATATCCCATAAGTAGCAAATTTCAGCTGTAGTCCAAGTAGATGAAAATACTAACATATTCACTCAAAAATACTTATTCAGTGACTATTTTGAGCCAGGCATTATTATGGGTTCTTGGGATACATCAATAAATAAAGAGCTGTACCTTCACAGAACTAAGTAGATTACATAGTATGTTAGAAGGTTATGAATGCTATCAAAAAGAAAAAAATACAGTAAGGTAAGATTGAAAGAACTATGAGGTAGTAGTGATGATGGTTACAATTTTAATATTGGTCTGAAAAGGTCTCATTGAGAAGGTGACATTTGAGTGAAGACCTGAAGAAAGTAAGAGCATATATCATGCTGATATTAGAGCAAGGGCCCAAGGTGGGAGTATGTTTCAAAAAATTTAACAAGACTGAAATCATAAAAAGTATGTTCTCTAACTACAATGAACTTACATTAGTGATCCACTATTGTAAGAAATATGGAAAAACACAAATACACGGAAACTGAACAACATAATTCTACATAACTCATAGGTCAAATAACTCACAAAGGAAAATTTGAAAATTTAAAAATATTTTGACCTGGATGAAAATGAAAACACAACATATCAAAATTTATGGATGCAGCTAAAACATTGCTGTATCAATATGAGAAAAATCTATAGCTTTAAATGTCTGTTTCAGAAAAGAAGAATGGTTTCAAATTTGTAACCTGAGCTTCTAAGTTAGGAAACTATAAAAAGAGTAAACTAAACACAAAGCAAGGAGACCAAGAAAAAAAAAAAAACTAATGAAGATTAAGCAATAATCTTTTCTTGTGACAGAAAACAGAAAAATAGGAGGGAGGAACATGGCAGAGTAAAGGTAACCCCCCGGATTCCTGCTCCCAGAGAAAGAGACATAGATCTTGGTCTCCTACGGGTAAGTGGATCTCCCCCTCACAAGAACAGCATCGTGAATCTGCAGAGGTTCAGCGCGGGACACTCAAAAATGGAAAAAACAAGGTGATAGGGAGATAAGATTGCATTCTCCGGAGAGTGCAAAACAAACAACAGAGCATAGAGCGTGGGAGGGCGCCGGCTCGCTGGGCCAGGGGGTGAAGTGGGATCAGACCCACAGGACAACCTCTTACTTCCCCATTGACCTCCACACTCACCCACCTAGGGACCTGTCTGAAGTTGGTGCGAAATCGCAACAGGAGAAGTGGGTGCTGTAGAGTGCGGTCATTAGTGGAAAGCACTGTGAACTGCCCCGGAGCCCCATGCTAGGACGGCACCAAGTAGGGAGGAAACCAGACTGAGCTGATATGGGAGGCAGTTAGATATTTTGCCTCTGGTAACCAGTGGGGCCAGTCCTACAGAGCTGTTCACTAAGTCAGAGACTCTAAGCTGGAACTGCCTCAGGGCAAATAAGCC